CCCTAACTAAGCGGCTTGATGAAGTTGATGAGTTGGATCTGAGCATTGATCTAAAATACCGAGGTGTGTTGGCATTAATAAATTTCATCACAAGCGTTGTTTTTCATTTTGGACAGTCTAACTGATTAGTTTTTGTGTACTCACGAGTCATGACAGATGTAGCAAGGTATGGAAGCTTCTTGAATGAAACAAATAAGCTGCCCAAGTGTAAGAGCTTTTGTATGTTCTTGTTGTGGAAACACCATGCCTGGTGCCTGTCATGTTGCATCTCTTGAGGAGTTGCAATGGTACAAAGAAGCTTCGAGTACATTTGTGTGGTCCTTGGTCCTGATGAGTTTCTAAAACCTTTAGCTTTATAATATGCCATAAAATTGTTGATTGCAAACTTTGACTTATTATTTGATAATTGAGAGTCCTGCAATATGTTTTTTAGGTGGGGTGGTTGAGGTTCTGGATATGTTTATTTATCATTTTTTTAATTGTTGATATTCTTTATAAACTTTTATTGGACCGAATTGAAGATTTGTGCTTTAGCTAGTGAACATTTCTTTTTTGGTTGCTTAGCTTGTTTGAATTTGTGTTACCTTGACCTAGCTGTAAATGAAGGGTGACGGCGTAGGTAGCAGTATTGGCAGGTGCGGGGCTCCTCACTATGTACAATGCTGCAATGTTCTTTAGATATGTTTGATTTACTACAGCTAGCTGAACCTCGCACCAACAAAAGCAAGCTTTGTTGATTTATGAATATTATCAATATTCTCCACTACTGCAATGTTGTTGCATTCTCTTTTTATTTCCAGACGCAATCTTGCCTGCCATCTTGCCCTTGTCGTTTGGAATAGAGTCGCAAGATTCATGGCATCGATCTCAGTTCACTTGAAGTGGTAGAAATCATTGGTTTTTCAGGTTCTCATGAACAAATGGAACTTTTCCTATCCAGCAATGCAGGAGTCCTTAAAAAGCTGCTCATCAGTGACAAGTATTGTCGTAGGCCCAAGGAAGTACGTGAGAAGGTCCGTAGCATGTATCATCCAAATGTTAAAGTTGAATTCTGTGTGTTCCGCGAGGGGAGGCAGGTACTCGTTGACTAATTTCAGGCGTGTGCTAAATGTAATATTGTGGTCTTTACTAGTTTTTGCACAATAGGTGCAGGATTCTGCGTTTTTAGGATTCATTTTCAGTTCAATTTTGAACCTCGATCAGTTAACTCTACCCCAAAAGGCTCATTGCTGTTTTTCTTCTTAGACTTCGATCATTTACATCTAATCTTGAGATTGCAACATCTTCATTAGAATAGGGAAGTATAAGTGACCTGACACTGGTGCGCCAACCGTGACGTCTGCATCCTGGCCAGACGCATTGCGCCTTGGCTGCGCTTCGCCGTGGAGCACATGGTGGCCTGGTGGGTAAGTTACATCTCTCCATGGAACTGGAAGTCACACGGGAAGAGGCAGTGATTGAGCTTCCCGTGCTTCAAGGGGCGAAAACAATGTGTCGATCATGCAAATAAATAATGGTTGGCTCCGTCTCCAGGCGACCGGCTTGTTCACGGCGCGTTGAGCCGTTGACCTTCCTGGGGATACACAGTGGCCGCATGGAAGGCACGGATCTCACAGCTGTGTGCACGCAGTGCCCTCGTTGCACTCACTGGTGTTCGCCATCACAAACATACAGCTGCTACAGATCGTGGCCCCAAGACTGGAAGAGCTCACTGTATATCGTCACCCCATGGAGGCTCATATATCTGCCCCGAAGCTTGCGAAGGTAGCTTGGTGTGGCCAAGCCTATGACCCTTATCACCATTGGTTTTCTTACATTAGCTGCAGTCACCTCCAGCTATTGGAAATCAGACGAAAAAGTTTTGCAGCATCCCTGATTCGGCAGTTTGATGAAGTTGACAAGTTAAAACTGGAAATCTCCATTTCACAGGTGTGCTGGCAGCCTGGCATTAACGAATTTTGTTAGTTGTTTCTTTCTGACAGTCTAAGTGGCTATTTTGTGTCTACTCATGACAGGGAGTAGCAGGGTATGGAAGCTTCTTAAATGAAACAAATAAGCTTCCCAAGTGTAAGATCTTCATGATATCCTTAGAATGCGGTCACCATGCCTTGCTGCCAAGTATGTTGTATCTCTTCAGGAGTTGCAACAGTACACACAAGTGTTCTGTACTATTGCTTAATCGTTGGGAGGAACTGCAATTGTAATTTCTAAGAACTTTACCTTTATATATGAAACACCTCCATTTTTGTTTGTTAAATATTTTAATTGCTTGCAGCCTTTACTAGTTATTTGATAATTGACTCCTGATATCTTTTCTTGATGTGGGGCTGAGGCTATGAAAAACGTTTATTCAGTGTTTTCTAAATGTTTATATAATAAACAATTGGACCAGTTTGAAGATTGTGCTATAGCTAGTGGACTTTTCTTCTTGTTAGCTTGACCTAGCTATAAAGAGATGAGGGACTCTATATGGTAGCAGTTGGTCTCGTCACTCATTAGTTGTGTATAAAGCCCTTGCTTGGATATGTATAATTTGGAGCCAACTGAACACAAAACAAATTAGTTACTTTTATGAATTATAATCAATGCTCTCCACTAATGCAATGATACTGTATTTTTCTTTTTCCGAGATGTATTCTTGCCCATTGTCTTGCCCTTGTCGCTTGGAAGAGAGACGCAACATTGATGGAATTGCTCTCAGTTCACTCGAGGAGTTACAAATCGGAGGTTTTACAGATTGTCCTGAAAAGCTGGAACATGTCGAGTTTATATCCTGCAGTGCAGCAATCCTGAAACGGTTAGTCATCAACTACGCGACGTTCCCTGCTCCTCCACTGACCAAGGAGGTATCACTACAGGAACTGCTGGCTTCCCCGAGTGCCAGTTGCACTCGGGGAAGACCCAGTTGCACTCGGGGAAGCCTTCCCCGAGTGCAACACTTGGGGAAGAGCCTCCGGCTAATCCTCTCACGGGAAAGTCGCCTTCCCCGAGTGTCAAAAATCGTACACTCGGGGAAGGCTTTGCCGAGTGCCGTGTTGGCACTCGGGGAAGACTTGACGCCGTTGGCCGACGGCCGACGTCGTTTTTTTTTATTTTCTTCCCCGAGTGCAACACTCGGGAAAGATTTTTGAATTTTTTTTTTAAATACTCTTCCCCGAGTGCCACAGCTCAGGCACTCGGGGAAGAAATTTGTTTTTTTAAAAAAAAATCCCTCTTTCCCGAGTGCCACTGCACAGGCACTCGGGGAAGCAACCTCTAAAATTCTTTTTTTTTTGCTTTTCCATGTAAACAACAAAGCATATATATATATCACAAACCACAAATCAACACCAATATGTCACAAACCACATTTATATATCACAAACGACCAAATTTGTCCGAAATCCACAATATATTACAAACCACACGTTCAAAAGTACACACTATTCCAAGTTCACAAGTTCAATACATAAAAACGACTCCGAAGGCAGCTCACGGCGACTGTGAGGGGTAGGACGCCCCAGCGTGCGATCCCGGCGACGGTCTAGGTGGGGATGGCCCGACGTGCGATGCCGGCGACCCTTCGACATGGTTCGACGCCGCCCCCGATTGATGCTATAAAAAAGAGAGGAGATTGCACGTGAGTGACAAGATAAAAATGTAAAGAGTTTAAAGAAAAGTTGAAAATTTCGGCAGCACCTCCCCTGCACGGGGAGGTTTCCAAAACCTGCAAGAAAAACATCGGCACGAAGGCCGACGACCACATTTCCGGCACGAAGGCCGACACATCAACAAATCCGGCACGAAGGCCATCACTAGGTTTGACACTAAGCATGAGCAAAGAAAGTAAAACATCCGTACTCATACTCACCGGAGTAGACTCTAGACGATGTGGTGGTGGTGGTATGATCAGGCAACAAGAAATAAATTGAAGTGAAATAAGCACAAAACATCAAAATGCTCTGGTTAACTGAAGAAAAAACATACCCACTGATATGCAATCAGCATTGCCCATAGCACTACAGATGGAATTCCCTAGCCTGCTAAACAACTATTACGTGTCTTCAGGTCACATGTGGTACTGGAAGGAGGAATGAAAACTCAAAATAAATGCTCACCCCATGTTTCTCCATCAATGAAGCAGGGTGGAAAAAATCAGGAGATTGATCATAAAGAACTGTCGCCCTGGAATTGCAGACTAGAGAATGTGAACAGCAGTCCTTCATATATATGGAGAAAACTATGTTTAAGTTTGATCAGTCTACCTGACTCCCCAATTTTGAGCAAGCTCATGCTGCATTGCTTTTGTAACACAAAAGGCACCATCAGCCATCTGCCCAAAGTGCTTCTCAAACCTATAGAATACAGAACAAGTTACTATATTAACAGATATTTTCAAGTAAAGGAACAAAATTCTGGAACACCAAGTTATATATGTTATGTTAATCTTAACAGAAGATAAACGATCAAGGTAAAATGGATTACCAGAAATATATTTTGACTATAATGTGACTTCTTCCATGTCAATCAAGCGATACATGCTACCTTGGATTCTCTCCCTCCTTTCTATGATTTCTATATTTACACAGAGTTGTTGATTTTCAGGTATATGCTAATTCATAGGCAGTACTTTATTCCTATTTATGTACTCTCTCTTTCCTTGATTAATCTCTCTCACTAATGAAATTATCATATGACTATCTTTATTTTTTTTCAGAAAAATATACCTCTGATGAATGTAAAAAATAATAATGTATGGAGGTCTATTTGGATTACTGTATGCTCAAAATTATCTTTACTAAATAAGAGATTTGTGATGTCTGGAACTCTACAAGATCTTTGCACTCAAAGAAAAGAAATGTGTTGTATAATTTGTATCAATGATTTAGACATCTCTGCTCCTCAAACTTCTTGGCATTAGTTGCCGTGTCATTCATGGCTATCTCTTTCCCCTCCTGTATTGCATGCTTGGTGTTCTGAACATCGGATAGGTAACTGTAAGGACTATTCCTTCCTTCACGTCACTCCAAAATCTTTCCATGGCCAATAGAGATAATTTTTGCTACTGCGGAAGCAATCAACTGCGCGCAGCAAGCTGGAGAGACGGTTCGAGTGCAGCCCTGCCCAATTTCACCGAAACACTGCTAAAACAAGATGGTGGATTTAGGAGGAGCGGACCTGGTTATCGAGCGAGAGGGAGTGGTACTGCATCCGCGGGCTGCGACCGATGTCGCCCAGTACCACGACTGCCGCGCGCTTCCTCCTCTCCGTCGCCTCCGCCATCGCCGTCGCCGTCAGCCTACGGACAGGGATGGAACCGGTGAAGGGCATGGGTGTACACATGCACAGCCGATTAAGTTAGGTTTTGGGTGCTCGGTTTAGCACATCAGGAAGAGAAGGGAAATGGTGCGAGCAGGAAAACCTGGCGGACGCTCGTCGTGGGCGAAGGGTCCAACGAAGACCTCCGGCTCCTGACGCAGGCGGCGCGGCGTAGCCCGAGCTCGTCATGAGAAGAGAGAGAGAGAGAGCGCCGCAGGCCTGCGGGGGCTGCGGGGGCGCCAGCCCGGGGCAAGCTGCTTGGGCGGGCGGGGGGGCTTGAAGGCGCGGTGGCGCTGGGCCAGCGGCGCGGCAGCGGCGGCGGGTGTGTGGGTGGGGTGGCGTTAGGTTTACATAAGGCCTGCTGGGCTTTTTTTTTTTTAGTCTTCCCCGAGTGCCCTGTCCTGTCACTCGGGAAAGGACCTCTTCCCCGAGTGGCAGGAAAGGCACTCGGGGAAGAAGTTTTGTTTTTTTTTGTTTTTTGTGCATAATTTTTTTGTCAGGCCTTCCCACATTATTTAAAACTCCCTATTCAAATTTGGGACAATTTTGATTTTTTTTTTTTATATTTCGTTAGTTTTTTTCGTTTCGTTGAATTTTTTTGCATACTTCAAATTTGAACTGCAGGTGCATGAAATAATGAAATTTGGTGATTCAAAAAATTATATTAATGATATTTGGTGTATGTTGAGGCCTTATCCAGGAACTCGCATGAAATGTCGAGCATCTTGTTGACGTAACATGACGAACAACTTGCGAGAAAAGTGTTTTTAAATTATATAAAATCCGAACGAAGTCCGAAAATCACGAAACTTGTCTGGGCGTCGTGTTATCGCATGTAGAGGCTATGAGAAAAAATCGAGAAGGTTTCGAGCAAGTTGCGACGTCGGATGCCTAAAACCCAGACATCTCCGCATGTGATCACTTGTAGAGGCATGCGGAGATGTCTGGGTTTTAGGCATCCGACGTCGCAACTTGATTTTTTATCATAGCCTCTACATGCGATAACACGACGCCTGCATAAGTTTCATGATTTTCGCTTCGCTCGATTTTATATAATTTAAATACACTTTCCCCGCAAGTTGTTCGTCATGTTACGTCAACAAGATGCTCGACATTTCATGCGAGTTCCTGGATAAGGCATCAACATACACCAAATATCATTAATATAATTTTTTGAATCACCAAATTCTATTATTTCATGCACCTGCAGTTCAAATTCGAAGTATGCAAAAAAATTCAACGAAACGAAAAAAACTAACGAAATATAACAAAAAAAGTCAAAATTGTCCCAAATTTGAACAGACAGTTTCAAATAATGTGGGAAGGCCTCACAAAAAAAATGAAGTAAAAAAAACAAAAAAAACAAAAATTCTTCCCCGAGTGCCTTCCCTGGCACTCGGGGAAGAATTTTTGTTTTTTTAAGTTTTAACGGCGTGGGCGGGGTGAACCATCGAGTAACATGTTTCTTTGCCGAGTGCCGATCTTCCCCGAGTGTTGCACTCGGGGAAGAGGGCCTTTGCCGAGTGCTGATCTTTGCCGAGTGCCAGGATCTCTGCGGCACTCGGGAAAGCCTCTCTTCCCCGAGTGCAATTCTTCCCCGAGTGCAACACTCGGGGAAGATTCTCTTTCCCGAGTGCCCGATTTTTAGCACTCGGGGAAGCCAGCGACACTCGGGAAATTTTGTCTCTCCCGTAGTGTATGTGAGAAGGTCCGTAGCATGTGTCGTCCAAATGTTAAGGTCAAATTCTATGTGTATCACAATTGGAATAGGGTACGCTTTGACTGAATAGTTAAGGCTTATGGCATTTAGTAGTTTTTGCGGAGCAGGTGCAGGATAGTTTCAGGCCTTTTCAGGATTCAACAGTTCAAATTTCAACATTGATCTATGAGCATTGCCATCTTGCTTGGGACTATAAAGGCTTACTGGTGGTGTTCTTAAATTTGATCTTTTATGTCTAATTATGTTGATACTGCAACATACTTATTATAAAAGAGAAGTGCAACTATCTGACACTTTCTGGATTCTGAAGCATGAGGAACTGTAGGAGCAAGTTTATTTATTTAGCTATTCTTAAGTGGGTGCAAGCGGTAGAGTCTTACCGCCTGTGACCGGAAGGTCCCGGGTTCAAGTCGCGGTCTCCTCGCATTGCACAGGCGAGGGTAAGGCTTGCCACTGACACCCTTTCCCAGACCCCGTACAGAGTGGGAGCTCTCTGCACTGTTGCTACGTCGCATAGGTTGTGAGCGCAGTAAAGAACAACCAAAAGCTCCAATTTGCACTGAATATGAATGTGGCAGTTCTTGCAGTTATATTTATATAGCACGTACCGTGCAGCTGGAGCCTTGTCATGTCAAACTTTTTTAATGCTAACACATGGCCTCTAAACTGGAAAAGCACAAATGATTGTTTTCCCACAGATTAGTTCAATCATTGAAGGGAATAAAAAATCTCGCACATTAGTTAATTATATTAGTTCGCTTGGGAGGAAAATAAATGATGAGTACTGGTAAGGCGCACAACAATAGAGAATATAGAGTATGTTCTGATATCATGTTGGATGTCAGTATTTCCGTACATTTCAAAGGATTGGTCCAGCGAGTTCTTCGAACAGATATAATGCCTTGACCTGAACATAACCAGGAAACTGATTTCTTTCATAGCATTAGTATATGTTCAACGGAAGATAATAACCATGCATGCAGGTACATTGCAGTAAGCTGTAGGCTGATCATACAAAATTAATACACAAACATATACTATATGTTTTGTCAGCAACAAGTATAGATGAATACTTTCGCTAACAGTTTCAAGGTTCTGTTCACCCGCCCTTTGCTTCCGGAGTTCCGGAATTAAATTGGCAGAGCTGTAAGCTGCTAGTATACCTAACCTGGTAGACTTAACGAAGGGTGATGTATAAGCAAATGATGAGTCCATCCTATTGGCCAACCATACATCACTTTTTTCACATTTCAGCCAAGAGTAATACCTGTCATATCAACAAGATGTCAATTTTAGCTAACTGTTTTGTTTCATTACAGGAAGAGGACCAAGAAGACAGCAGTGAGACCTGGAAGAAAGAAGGCCAAAAAGGACCAGACACCAACTGAACAAGGAACACCAAGGAGAAGAGTAGCACTGGCTAGAGAGGCAGCTGAAGGCAGCAAGAGAAGCTGCCGAAGAAGCAGCTAAGGCAGCTACTGCAGCACTGGATGTGGCACCACTGGAGTACCAAGCACCATCAAGCCCAAGAACACCTATAAGGTACTGCACAAAAACCTTTTAAAGTCTGTCTTTGTCAAATATTCCAACCTTGAACCATGACTTTGAACACAGGAACACCTGCCTTGAGTTGCAAGTGGTGAACCAGATGGAAGGAGTAGCAGTTCAACACCAGGGAGAGATGGCTGCTGATGGTGGTCTAAAGAAATTCACACCTAGAAGGAAGCAGCTAGCCAGCAAGGTCAGGAAGAGCCAGCAAAGAAGAGTCCAGCAAAGAAGGGGAGGAAATGAAACTTGTGCTGATGGAGATAACTTGCAGTTCATTTGGGGAATAAACTTGTAGTGAACTTGTATGACCTTTTGTGTAATCTTTTGTGTAACCTTCTGTGTAAGTGGCCAGAAGACAATGTGATGTATGGCCTTAACCTTATGTGATGTAAGTGGCCGAAAGACAATGGATGTAGACAATGGCCTCATCCCAACTATCTGAACCTGTGATGGTTTCTATTAAATTATGTACCACTGCTCTATGAAATGATGTGCCTGTGCTCTGTGCTCATCATAGCTCTGTGAATTATGTGCTCTATGACAATATTCACTCACAATTTCAGTTTCATTCAACATCCAGACATCACAATTTTGGGACAACAAATTTCAGTTTCATTCATCCATGCATTGTTACTTCATTACACCATACATCAGTACAAATCCAAAGACAACAGATACAACACACACAATAAACATGTTCGTTTTCCACATCAAATTCTCTAGCTTCTGCTCCAATTCTTTTCTCTGCTTGTCACCATTTGGACTGTCCACTGAAGCTTCTTCATTCACCACCTCTGTCCAATTCGACTGGCGAACAATTATTATGCCAAGATCCTTCAACTGTTGAAAGTAGTCCTTTTTGAATCGATAGTAGCCACACAACTTGGGAAACTGAAAAACAAACAGAAATTAGAACCCTAACCATGCTACTTGAGAAACTAAAAAATAGACACAAATTAGAACCCCAACCGTGCTAATTTGGGAAACAGTAGACCCAATTCACCCTGTTTCTTGCACACTTGAAGTAGAGACGGCCGTGGTTCTCATCGTCCTTCTTGGTACGCCCCTCCACCACCCGAGCAAGACCGCAATCTAGGCAAGGGACCAGCGGGAACCCGCTCAGCTCACCAAATGGATCGGTACCGAGTGAGACAATGCTGGTGCTCCGAGCACCTTGAAGCCTACTCCTCGCATGTCCACCTCCAAAAGACTCCGAGTAATGCGACATGGCTCGCTGGGCAAGGGACAAAGAGGAAGGTACAACTGCAGCGGCGGCGGCGAGAGCGGGGAGAAAGAATGGACCGGGCAAGGAGAGGACTACGGCCCGGCTGGGTTAGTATGCATAGAGCATGGGCAGCCATTGTCATTTGCCACCCCTGCTGACTCCGAATCCAACTTGGAGCGCGGCGCTGGCCACGTCAGTAATTGTGGCTTTCCATATCACTTCTGTCCGTCTCCTGGCAAATTGTATTAGCAGGCGTTGAAGTGCTATCTAGGAGGTGCCGTTCCTCGTACAACGGTAAAAAATTAAATCTCCCAATGAGCAGCGATTCGTTCCCCAACCTACTAAACCCTAACCACCAATTCCAACCAATTTGACTCCGAGGAATCGACTCCTACCTCTGCTCCGCCGCTCATGGCCAAACGCCGCCGCCGCCGCTGCCGCTCCGGCGAGGACCGCATCAGTGGCCTCCCC